GAATTGATCTCTCTTAATTGGAAGGTTTCTATGTCATGATGTAATCCAAGATGCGTATGGGAGTATATAAGAGACGTCCTCAATAATTGTCCATATTATGTACTTAAGGTTGAAATTAAGTAAAAATCGCGTTACAATTGGTTTCCAAACATAGTTTTGATCAAATAAGAAAACTTCCCGTCGGTTGCATTTTTGCCCGGTCGCATGGGTATAAGTTTGCGATTGCACAGGCATCATCATCTGCTCTCAAGTGCTGAAAATATAAGGGTTGCGATCACACCCTTATATTTATGAGGATGACGACTTTGGTCCTCAATCTTGATCCTTTGTGTCATTTCTTGCGCAATTTTCATTCTTCATCTTTTAATTTCATCTAATTGATCTCGTATAATCTTCAATCATCATGTGTTTGGTCCAAATAAACTTGAGGATATTTGTAATTTAGTCCCTGAATATTAAAAATTATCATTTTCTCTGATTTTCATTCATTGATTACAATTTCACTTTCAACCATTAATTTTTACCTAATAAACAATATATACAAGAAATTAAGCTATAATCGAAAAAAAATCTTAAATATCTATACTTAACGATCTAGATAAGTGCATAAAATACACTTATCAATAATAAGTTGAAATCGTTTATCAAGTCCATTAAATTTTAAAACCCCCGATGGAGAAAGCGTGTACTTAGCTATTTAGAAAGTTCAGTGAAAAAATCTAAAGTTGAATAAGAATTAAGAAACATTGGAAAAGATTTAATAGCAACTCTCCAAATTTTTAAAGTTCGATGGTAATTAAGAAACGGTTGAAAAGTTCAGTGGCCGCTGAGATATTTACCCTGTACTTATCTATAATTGAAGTTGGCTTAACTTCAGAAGTAAAAGCAATCAAATTGATTAGGTATGTGCCTGGCCCAATAAATATTTCTTAGCTTTTTCTTTTCTTTTTTCATTGCTGTGTCTCTAGAATTGCAATTTACTTGGGAAAGAAAAATGGAAAATATATGCTGTGTGGCGGGGTATTTACGCCCCGTTTGGCTCCCATTAATTTTCATTCTATTAAATTTTATTTCTCTCTCTCTCTCTCTTATTTTCAATCATTCAATCTTTCATAAAATAATATTATCGTAAATCGAAAATTTTTCCTTCTTTTCCACCTACTCATTTTTCCAAAAAATACTATTCCATCAATTTTCATTTCCATAAAATGGGGCCAAACGGGGCTAAATTTTAAACATAACAGCCACTAAATATACAAGGGCTGTTCAACATCAAATGTAGATAAATGTTGACTTGTTAAGAGCTTAAATGTTTAGATAATACCATTTAGGGCACCTTTTCACTGTTATTGTGAAGCAACATCATTACTTTTTCAAATTTTTTGACATTTTCACTCTTATTTCCACATTTCATTGCACAAAAGATCATTTTCATCATTTTTTTAAATTAAAAATTGTGAAATGACGAATATTCATTTCTATTTAAGTAAAACGAAAAGAAAAATAATTAATTAATTGCAATTATAGTTTCAATTTTTTATTTTTTATTTTTTAAAAAGTGCAAATGCATCCAAAAAAATTATTAAAAGGGTAATTAACACATAATGTTCATATATTTTACTATTATTCTAAAAAACTTCATACCTTTCATTTTAGGCATTTTCACCTTTAATTACACATTAAATTGCTCAAAACATCATTTCTATCAATTTTCATCCAATTTCTCAATTGTGGTTGCAATTAATTCTTTGTTTTTCTCATTTAAATAGGAGGGTTATTCATCATTTCACAGCTTTTTATTGAGAAAATGGATAGAAATGATGGTTTGCTCAATCAAATGTGTAGTTAAAGGTGAAAATGTAAAAAAATGAAAGATATGGACGTTTTTCACAATAATAGTTGAGGGTAGAGACATTATGTCATAATTACTCATTTTACTAATTTATTTGGGACCCGTTTGCATTTTTTTTTAAAATTTGGAACTATGGTTGCAATTAGTTATTTCTCTTCCTTTCTCCTTTTTATTTCAAAAAATGATATATTCTTCATTTTAAAACTTTTAATTGAGAAAATGACCTCTTGCGCGACGAAAAGTAGAAATAAGGGTAAAAATGCCTAAAATGAAAAATAATAATGTTTTATGGAATAATAGTGAAAGGAAATAACTTTATGTGCTAATTATCTTTTTCATTCTTAATTACAAATTTGATAGTGCAAATCGTCATTTTTATTCATTTTCATCCAATTTCATAATATAAAGCTGTAAAATGACATGCCCTCCTATTCAAATTTAAAAAAAAAAAAAAAAAAAAAAGAACAAATGAGTCCCAAATGAATTATTAAAAGATTATGAATAAAAAAAAATTTGTAAATGAGTCCCAAATAAATTATTGAAAAATCAGAAATTAAAAAAAAAATACAAAGGAGTCCAAATTAGTTTTCTTTTTCTTTTTTCCATTTAAATATAAGGGTATATTCATCATTTTATAGTTTTTATTACGAAAATGGATGAAAATGGATAGAAATGATGATTTGACCAATTAAATGTGTAATTAATGTTGAAAATACTAAAAATAAAAACAAGAACGTTTTTTTCACAATAATAGTAAAAAGTAGGGATATTATAATTAACATTTTAATAATTTATTTGGACTTTTGCACTTTTAAAAAATTCGGGACTATGATTGCAATTAATTCTTTCTTTTTCTTCTTCTTCTTTTTTCCCCCTAATTTAAATAGAAGGGTATATTCATCATTTTATATCTTTTAATCAAGAAAATTGATGAAAATAACATTCTGCACAATAAAATGTGGAAATAAAGGTGAAAATAACAAAAAATGAAATGTGTGCACGTTTTCCATAATAATGATGAAAGGTAAGAACGTTATGTAGTAATTACCCAATAATAATTGAAATATGTGTAGTTCATATTTGTTCATAACAAAACAAATTAAATATGGACATATTGGAAAAACTATTAACTATCTTCTTAGTCCTTGTTTGACCATCACTATCCCAAAAATTTATTATTCTTTTTCTTATTTCCAACAGCACAATTTTTTATAAAATAATATTACACGTAAATCGAAAAAAAATTCCTTCTTTTTCAACTATAAATTCTCCAAAAATGATATTCCAAACATTAAAATTTCAAATAATGGTTGACAAATAGAGGCTTAACAAGGAAAATGACTTGTAATTTGAAATTAGCAAAAAAAATGAAAGTAAGTATATCTTTATGAAACGATGGAAATAATTGAAAATAAATGATCACGTCCTTCGTATTATAAAATCTAATATTTTATGAGCCAAAAATTTAAAGAATTTTATTAATTCTCAAAAAGTTCAATTACTATTTTATTTTTTAATTAATTATTTTTTCTTTCCCATTTATTTATCCCTCCAAAAATTAACATTTTTCCATATTTTAGTCTCCATTATTTTCAAAATACGTTTTTTTCTTTTTTTTTTCAATCACACATTATTTAATAAAATAATATTACACACAAACTCAAAACTTTTCTTTATTTTTAATCACATTTTCATCAAAATAATATTCCAGCAATGTATTTCTGGCAAAAAAAAAGAAAGAAAAAAAAAGGAGCTCAAATAGGCTCTTAGTATTATCATTTTCAATTTATTATTAAATTTTTTTCATTTTCATTTTTAAAAAATACATTTTTATTAATTACATTTATATTTTATTTCTTCTATGAAGCTTTCTCACAGAAAAGACAGGAAGAGGCTGGAGTCATCCATAGTATAAGAATTAAGAAAGGCCTAGTACTTAGTCCCTTGTTGTTGAAATAACCCTAGTTGTCGGAATAACTGTTGAAAGAGCAAAATAATAGAATTGATATATATAATAAAGACAAGTCGAAAGTCATACAATTTTTTCAAAAAATAACGATGAAAGTGACTGATCTTGGGATTGTGATTGCAACTAGAAAAGGCTTTCTTTTAATTTTTATTCATTGAATAAAAAATATTAATTAGAAGATAACAATTACGATCTTCTTCCCAATGTTAAACGAGTCAAATGAAGTATGTTCTATATTTTATTAGCTTAGTAAAATTATTTTTTATTGTTTTAACGTTATAGTTTTTTTTTAGTACAAGGTGTGATTTGTCATTTAGTAAAGGGTATATTAAGATATGATAAGGGCATATTGGTATAGGTAATATTACATGTCCATCAAGATATATTATTTGAAATGGATCACTCTCTATGTGAGGGGGAGTGAATACGATATGAACATCGTATTAAATACAAATAATATATTCCTATTGGTAAATCTTTCAACAAATGGCGTTTCTTGTAATCATTATGCAGTATATAGTGTAAAATATGAATTTATAAAATACTGTACTCAAAATGTAATTACATACTGCATACATGGTGTATCTTCTAAATTTATTTAAAATTATAAATAGGTAGAAATGATTTGTGAATAAGTGAATTGATCAAAATGTGTATAAAAAGTTGGTTCGACCAGAGTGTTTATATCTTGTTTTGCACATGTTTGAAATGCAAAACAAGAGATTGGTTTTTGTCTCGGGTTGGTTGAAGTAGGAATCAAAGATCACTGTAGATTGTTTTACAAATAAAAAATTATTGGTATTTTCTCAACAATTCAATTTTCAGTATTTGATATTTCAAATTAATCGAACCAAAATTTTAGTATATGTGTATGAATCAACGAGTTTTTTATACCTAATTTTTTTATATGAATAATCAACATAAAACAAAAAGGTTGATTGTGTTCGAAATCAACAAAGCTTTGATTGCACATTTCAACTCGCTTCATGATAATTAGAGATGAACACGGTTCGATTTTTGAAGTACTTGACATATTTTTAAATCAAAACATTTAAAACAACGTTGAAAGTACTGTAGTCATGGAGATTTTCAGCCGATGATAAATGCTCACACAATCATTAACAAGACGACTGGAAAATAAGGCATCGATAACCAAAATATTTATCAAACAGTTACGCATGAAAACCTCAAATTTAAACATCCAAATAAATTATGATGATGAGAATTTTGACAACTTATTCAGGGAGATTCTTGAAGGTAACCACTGAAACAAAAACCTCATTCAAATGAACCAGACCAATAATGCAACTTGTAGCTCTGTAGTCTCATTTCACTACAGCATAACATAAGATTTAAGACCTCTAACAAATGTTAAATAACCTGTCTTTTTTTCTTTTTTTCTTTTTTTTTTCTTTCTGTACCGCTGCTCACCAGAGAGATGCATGATACATTGTTTTTTTTTCCCCTTCTTTTAATATATGCCGCGATATAAATTGTACATCTCACTCAAAGACAAAAAGGAAACACTGAAGATGATGACAGACTCAAAACTCAAAACACTTTCGAAAAACAAAATCCTTGAGACTTCCATCTCAAACTCCATCCTTCAAACAGGTATTGTCACTCCAGTTAGCTCTAGCAAAGATAAATGAAAAGGCAAGTATGGGAACTTCACACTTCAACTGCTACACAAACTTTGATCTACTGTAACATCCTTCCTAGCCAGCAATATCTGTATTGAATCAAAAAATAAGAATGTCAGAAGTTGACAAATAATGGTACAAAATCGAATTGTGACGAGATGACCAATATATTTTGATTCAACCAGAAATATCTTGATGAAAAGAATGCCTCGAACATTGTAATAACTTCGTCAAAAAGAAACCTCTTAGATCAAAAGAGGGTAATAAAAGCACCTTAAATATCTATGAGCATGTTTGCTTAGCTTATTTCTAAAAAGGGAAGCTGTTTGGCTTCTTTTTTAAGAATAAGCTTAAGGATAAATGACTTCCTAAAGCTTGACCATGAGGAAATCACCCAAATAAAATCATGCGTATAAGTATTTAAAAATTTATACAATACATATACACTTGTTAAAATAGCGATATCAAACTTATTGGTCATTAAGATTCTAATACCATGCACACCTGTCCTTTATGTGCTTAATCATATTCAATGAGAAACAATCTAAGCCATGGAATATATAAGTTATATGGATCATTTTAATGAAAATCAACATAAACTCTATTTCATGAGCACTATTCCATAAAAATAATTGATAGTTTGAACACTGTTTCACGATTGCGCTTCCCATATAAAGTCAAACTGACAGTTGAACGCTAGCAGATATCTACATCTAAGAATGAAGATAGGCCAAAGCTTGGATAAATTGGAATCCTACCACATATAGTCAAATAAAAATATCTTCATCATTGTTAATTAACTTATTCAAAATATCAGACATGTAGACCATACTTCATTTCTCATGAAATCAGATACAAGAATTCAACAAAGAGGAGAGAGAGGTTAACATTGTACCAGATAGTCATAAAGTCAAATTGCAAACCTGATGATTGGAACATATCATAAAACCAAAGCTAAGATCGAGTAAATCCTTGTACACCTCCTCAACAAATTATTAGAGGAGGTAGTGTTGATCTACTCCCTAGGAGGCAAGTTCTAGACTGTTCCCCACTCCCTGACATAAATATCTTCAAAAAATAGGAAATATGTTTACAAACAAGAATTGCATATAAATTATGGATCAAGTACTCTAAATTAACTTGGGGATCCTTCACCATTTGCAAACCACATAAGAATGTATACAAAATGCTTGAATACTTCATAAATAAGGCTCTACTCCTATTCATACTTGTACACCTCCTGAATGGGTGGTTTGAGGAGGAGGCGGAGATCAGGGGTGGAACCAGGGGTAGACAAAAACTTTGGGCTTCGCAAATTATAAAAATGTATAAGTTTTCATATAATTTTATTGAGTATAATTTTTTTCTTTTTAAATTTAATAAAAGGAATTGGGCTTGGGCTGCCACAGGTAAAAGCCAGAGCAACGAAATGCTTCGGGGAGTTGAAAATAAGCATAGATCCGGAGATTCCCAAATAGGGCAACCTTTCAGGAGGAGAGTTTTACAATGTTATTACCTCCCCCATAAGTATCTCCTCAAAATTGACAAGATAATTACAGTGAAGAAGTGCAGAAACGTTCCAGCTTTAAGTGTCTCAAATTTTTCTAAAATTATTTAAAAGGCTTGAGGATGATTCTATTAACCCCTGGCAAACCCACAAAGCAGAAAAAATTTGGGTGCATACTAAGTTGGCTATGCTCTCATTGCCAATTACCACTTGATTTCCTCCTCAAACTGCCACAACTTTCTGTGGTCACTTCCATTTGATTAAGAATTGAGTGCTTGACAAGACTTCTACGCATATACCACTCCACCTACCAAGATCTCTTCAACTCCCTTATCAAAGGGTAAAATTCAAATGAGATTTTTGTGAGAAAGATTGGGCATATGTCATGCTGCAACAAGAATATTGTTTGCTCAACAAGGTTTAGTGGTGAGACCTCAAAAGTAAGCAAGTGGTCTTGTGTAATTTTATTTCATCAATATATTATTTGCTACTTTGTCGATCCTTTTATGTTTCTAGTTGCAAACTAAACTTTCAATTTTATTGAAATGTTTTGGTTTTGATTTTTGGATAATTTTTGGTGAATTAGTATAGAGTGTATAAGTTTTATATATTTTTTATAATCTTCATAATCATTTTATAGTTTTATGTTGGGCTTCTGCTTTGCATCATTGCCTCAATACATGACTACCCTGTTTAGACACTACGGAGAAATGGCATGTATTTATATGGTTGGTATGCAATTGTTGGAAGAAATGCTAAGTCAAATCTCATCACCTGATGCTGTGCCCTAATGATCGGTAATAGTTATTACTTATCACCCCAAACCTTCTAAACTCAGCACATAAACAAATATTAAACTTTTTCATGAAATGCCCATTTTGTATAATACCAAATGCTCGCTATCACAAAACGGCCAACGAGTGGCATAAGACCCTTTCAATTCGGACCTATAAGGACCCCAATGCATTTAAATTGATTGGATCTCCCTGATTTTTTTCCAGCAAGTTTTTAAAATAAACTTAATTTCAAATATATTAAGCCCCTGTTTGTTGTCGTTATTAGAAACTGCTTGTGTAAGGTGTCTGGGAATGCATATCTTGGTTTGTTTGTACTTGATAATAAAAGAAATAATTTGAGTTCTAGTAGTGTCTAAACATTTCAAATGTAGAGCCCGTGTCCTAGCTGGAGAAGGAGATCTTATGGAGCCTACAAATTTCCATGAATTGGTCTCAAACAGAAAGTGCTTAGAATCTTTATTATCTTGGGAACTTTTTAGACTTCCTTGGGCTGTGTGATGCAATTTATACCAGGTTGGATTCCACAAGATTTTATGGTTGATAACTAGGCTATATGTTTTTCCAGCCAATAATCTTTCTTTAATTTCAACAAGCTCCAACAGCCCCATATCATGAAAACTATCCATTCTAATATTTAACACTTCAATTCTGACTAATTCACAGCAAATAAAACCCTTCATGTTTTTCTTTGTAACCTTAGTCCTAGTTAACTATCACTGCCCTCATCTTTACTCTGAAGCAAATCCTACTCCGTTGGAACATACATCTGGGGACTGGCATCAATCTGGCCTTTGGACATATTAGACTTTCTTTAGCAATTATATCTTGCTTTTTTCTTCAATCTTCTACCAACTATATAACTTGACTGTAAACATGATTTTTCTTTAAATGCATGAACATTGTTGTTCATGTCCTCACTCTCCATCAAGCTCATCTACATCTCCAGTGCCAGCATCTTCTAATAATAAAGATTATAGTAATCTAATAATAAAGATTATAGTAATAAATATATACATATAAATAACTTTCGGGTGAAACACTCAACAAACCACTAAAATGCATTTACGACCATAAGTTAATTCAAGAAAATACTTAAATTGATTAAAGGAAATATATATAGTTAATTAATTAAGTATATCATACTTGTTAGAAAGGTTAAATGGACAGCTTACCTCTATCAATCTGTCTCTAGGTACCACCATCACTGCCAACATAACCAGGAGAAATTTTAGATGTGACATCAGAGGGTCCATTTCCAAGCCCATAACCAAATGAACCAGATCCCTCTTGCTCAAATTTTGCTGGATTCCATGTAGGGTCTAGATAACCAAAACTACTATCATAGAGATCAGAAAGAGCCCCATCATAATTGTCATTCGATGCAGCATATGATAAGGATGGGGCCCTGCTTGTTGAAATATTTCTTCCATAGCCTCTCCCTGCCAAACCAAAAGTATTATCACCACCTCCATAACCAAAATTTCCAGTTTGGCTTGGAACATTCTGTCCCCCTTGTGGTGAAAATGGATGATTACCCCAAACTCCACTGTTGCCATAATTTCCTCCCGCGATGTTCCCACTCCCAGATTCCAAATAATTACTAGAATGAGCAGAGTTTGTTCCATAATTAAGCCCTCCATTACCCCATAAATTTCTGCTACCAGTACCTGAACTGAAAAAAGAGGAATTTCCTCCATTCCCACCATCAAACCGAACAGAATTGTCAAATCTATTTGAGTTTGAATTAACATAATAAGGGTTCAGTGACCGTCCATAGTTAAGAGAACTATTAAAATTCGCACTCCCACCATAAGCTGGGCCTAAACCAGGTTCATAATTCAGGCCCAGACCATAGTCAGAAGTAAATGGAGAGAAATTGCTTCTCCCACCAGCAATTGGACTGAGCCTACTGTCCATCCTGACTTCATATCCTCCCATTGTACTTGGAGAGTATCCCTGAGGATAGCCATTAAGGAAGCTATTGATCCTACCTACTCCATAGTTATATCCACCAAGAGGGCTTCGGCTAGGACTTGGAGATAACTCTTTGGGGACTGCACGCTTGACCTCAACCATCTTACCATTCAGCTCGTGAAATGTCTTAAGCAAGACTTTGTCTACAGCATCCTCCGAATCATAAGTGATGAATCCAAACCCTCTAGGCCTTTGAGTGTTGTGATCATACATCACAACGACATCCGTGATCGTACCAAACTGCTCGAAATACTTCTTAAAGTCACCCTCTGTAACTGTGGATGCTAAACCTCCGACAAAAATCTTTTTTGTTTGACCTGAGCCAGGAGAATCCTGAATGCGACTACTGTTTCTACTCCCTGTGCTCTGGTCATCCCTAGGAACAGCCTTCTTTGCCTCGACCTAAAAAAGGGATTCTTAATAATGATAAATAAGTTTAAAGTATGAACACTTCTAACAATGAGTTTTTTTGAAGCCAAAATTTCAACTAGACTATATAAAAGGAAAAACTTTTGTTTGCGAAATCTATAATAACAGAAATGAATATTGGATAGTATAAATAAGGAAAGAAAATCAAGTTCCTCTGGCTAAAAGCACATTTGTTACCACATTTCACTGAGTTTCATAGCTAGATACTTCAAACTTTAGATAAGAAAATGAAATTTAACAATACAAGCTCCTTACAATCAGCCTCATGTCTTCTTCTTATAACAATTCAGAGATCACACCACTGTTTTTCATCTTCTTTTGACTTAGGAGAAAAAGAATAGAAATGGGCAGGATATATGCAAAATCCCAGGATGCAACAACCCTGATGATACCTCAATGAAGAACTCAACGAATGAGAATGACATACCATCCTGCCATCAATTCTGTGCTTTTCCTTAATGACTCTCTCAGCAACAGCAGGATCAGCAAAAACAACAAAACCGAATCCACGAGCACGTCCCGTGGCACGATCCTTCATAATTACAGCTTCTAGCACATCTCCATATGCACCAAAGTATTCCTTGAGTCGTTCTTCAGTTGTGTCCCACGAAATCCCACCAACAAATAACTTGCCAAGGTCAGACTGCATCATTTTAGAATTCTGAAAAAGCAGTAATTCCAAAATCTGCATTTACAATCGCCACTACTAAAGTCAGTTCGACACAAAAGCCAAATATTTCTGCAATTCAACAAATAATCAGATTATCAAAAGCTGATCCAACAAATAGCACAGAGCTCCACTAAAACGGAACCAAAAAAGCCAGCAAAATTACACTAAAAATCACTATCTCATTCCAGATTCCACAAAATAAAATGCAGATAGAAAAGGATAATCAAACACGAAATGAAAAAAACGTAAAAGAACATACCTTGCGTATGAAGAACTAAAAATATCGAATTATCCGAGAGCAAAGGACTATAATTATCAGATTATATCGAAAAGTATTGGATCCTTAGATGATCAATCCAATCAGAGCCCCCTGAAAACAATTAAAAGGGAGAAAAATTACCAATCAGAGAAATCAGCCATCGAACTTATTTAGATAAATAACAGACTACGCGATATAAAGAAATCTTGAATACCAAAATCAAAGTTTTCACTGTTTACCGATTGGAGAAATATCAGTAAGATCTGAGAGGAGGCAACTGAAATAATCGAGGGCAATGTTCTTCCTCCTCTGTATATATTCCCCTAACTCTTTCTCTTTTTTTCTTTTTCTTTCTTTCCTACTTTCCAACCCAAGAAAGGGGTCAATTTCTCTTTTTTCTTTTAAGCTACAATACGTTTACACAGAAAATTTAATTTATTTAACGTTAATTAAAATTATTTTATATTAATTTCCAAAATAATTTTTTGGGGAGAAGAAGAAAGAGTTACAATGCGCAAGGAGAGAGGAAAATGTGTGTTTGTCAAGGACAAGGACAATGGCGAGAGGCAGTAGGATGTATTAAAATTTGGAGCTCTATATACTCACTGGGAAAAATACCATGGGGCACGCATGCATGTTATGATCTATGTATGGACCCCACCGATTGGCTGAGCCCTGCTTAGCCTATGGACTACAATTCTTTTCATTTTTCCATTTCTGACCTCATGTCCTAATTTTTTTATTTCCTTTTTTGTATGTTTGAATTTTTCTTTTTCTTTTTCTTTTTACTTTTGGAGAAACTTATAAGTAGATTTTTTCTTTTTTATTTATTTATGCGAAATAGAAGAAGTCGATGCTCAGCCAAAGACATGAGAGATCATGGTTTATGATGTAAAATATTCATTTCCGATTTGCAAAAATAAAATGATGGGAGAATGTCTAAACGTTTATTATTATTATTATTATTATTTCATTTGAATTTGCACTTTATTTAGCTCAACAATTAAATCACATAATGTAAAATATTCATTTCCGATTTGACAAAACAAAATTTTATAATACGATTATAACATAATGTTAGATCACATAAAAATGCGACTAAAACATAACATGATAAAGTCATGAACGAGTTTAATATAATTGCGCGGCTATCCAATCACCATGGTCCTCGCCCGAAAAAAATAATAATAATAAATTGTAGTATGAGTATTTGTAGAAAGTACTAACAATGTATATATCCATTATTTTAAATCTTAAAATGCAATAAAACAAAGAATATCACATTCATACTTATTGAGCCCTATTTGGTGCTAATTTTTAAAACCAAAACATCAAAATTTTAATCGTTACTTAACATAGTCACCCATCCTTTTTTTATCTTTTCACTCATTGGGGAGATGTACCTTTCGAGCTAACAATCAAAAAATTGATTTTCAAAATCAACACAAAACAGGCTCTGAATTCAATTGTTTTTTTCCTTCCATGGGTAGCAGTAGTCTTTACAATATATATGTAAAAAAACCAAAGTAATACGGCATTGAACAAGATTGGTTAACCTTCGAAAGAGGATAAATTAAACCTAGTGCCTGCTTGGGAGTTTTGGGTAGCAACTATGGATGTTTTTAAAACATTGATGTAGAGCGATTATAAGTGGTTCGATTCTGAGTGATTTTAATAGCAATTTTTAAAACATTCTAACTCACGGTTCCTCTTGGCGTATAGGAACACCCTTCACGAGGGTCTTATAGATTCGACGTGGCAAAAAAAAAAAAAAGGACCAAAAAAGGGAAAATGAAGGAAATGAAACAACAATCAACCCGTATTCTTATTCTTTCATTTCTCTCCAGATTCAAAACCATTCCCATCTCTACCTTCCTACATTCACGACGACGACACAACACCGTAAGAATCATCTCCGTCTCCAGTTAGCAACAAAATTGGTGAAAAAGAAAAAGTATCAACTGCCAAAAAGTTCGAACCTTGCTCTGATTTTCCACAGTTGCGAAGCGACCACCATAGACCTATCCTTCTCCCACCGACGCCGAACCACAACTGAAGAAGACTTCTCTTTTCGTCTATACACCTCAATTGCTTGACATCTAATTATAGAGTTGACCCATGAATAAGCTGTGAATGTTTGTACATGTTCTCTCTGTTCGTTAGTTTAAATACACATATTAGATATTACATGTAATTTTCCGAGATTGTTGCTCGACACTGTAGGATTTGCAGAAAAATGTTTGAAAAAATAAATTCAAATTGATGTAGAAAGATGTTTGTTACTGTTTGTGTACTTAAAAGATGAAGAACAAACGGGATTGATTAGAGAGAAAACAAGTGACATACTTAGAATTGACACACATGTTTATAGTTGTTCATATCAAATCAACCATTTGAAAAAAATGAATAATGTCAACTGTGGATTTAATTAGAGTGCTTGTGTTTATGTTGCTGATAACACTTTAACATAAATTGATAGTTTCATTTATGTGGTTGTTTACCATCTTAGAATGAGAGGAAGGAATGTTGAAATTTGTCATAATTGTCGAAGCAAGTGGCACTCATTTGAGGAATGCGCAAAAAAAAATCGTTGCTCGTGGTGTCCCCGTGGACTTCAGAAATGTTCGAGATTTAAAAGCAAACACATAACA